CTCTTTATATTTTGTTTTGTTGCATTCAATTTGTCATTGATATTCTTTATATCTAATGTGTTATCTTCCTTATTTAACTCTTTGTAAATTGACATAATCCATGGGAGTTTGCAGTTTATCTGTTCATGGTATGCCTGTTTTGTTAAATTACATTCTGGAAGTTCTTTGATCCGTGCCAAATACTTTATAAGATTTATTTTGATGTCTACTAGTAATGGTAGTTCACCTATTTCTGCTCTACAAGCTAGATTTGATGAAAATTTATTCAATCCAAGCATTCTTTTACTAAATTTCAGATGGGTTTTCTCGATTGGTGTAATGTCCCATTTATTATTTTCTTGAATTTCGAAGCCCCATACATCTGATCCATATAATAGTATTGGTCTTATACATGTTTTGAATAGGTGTAACATTGTTTTGCAGTCAGTTTCTTTTGGCACAGAAGTCATCATTGCATATAAAGCTCTTGTGGCTTTGTCTGCCAAATTATTTCTTGTGTCGCTGAATTTGTCACTCAGAGGATAACAATGCTGATGACGTATCGCTGGAATTTCAGGATCTTGTCCTCGTAGTCGGCTGGTAATTTTTGTCCAATTGATGTTAGCGACCACGTTGACAACAAATGACGCGCCTTAAAAGCATGAAGCCAGCCATCGATTGCTTTAAACGTGCTGTCCTTACTCATTCTTCGAGCTTGCATTTGTAGTTGTCGGCCAGAAATGGCATTGGCTTGACTCTTGTTGTATAATTGATCTTTCGCCCGAATCATTGACGAACTTGTTTCTCGTTAATACCAAAGTGGTCAGCCGTTTTTCTGTTGTTCTTCCACTCGAGTGCTTTACAAACAACTTTTAGTTTGAAAGATGAATCGTAAGAAGCACAGTGAATATGGCTAATTGGATGAGGTATGGCATCGTTAAAAATAACAATAAGTTGCGTAAGCAAACAGAGAACTTTGAGCAGTATCAGAACTGGACCCAAAATGAAAATTTCTTCAAAACTCTGGTTTATATCTTGATGCATCTCTTTCATTGTATTTTTTTCAACCAATCACGAACAAATATTCGTTTAATCGATTGCCACTGAACTTTTGTTTTACTTATAGACAGG